AACCCTTAACCCTAATCCCTATACACTTTTCGGGGAATGCCTTGCTGCACCTGGGCCCTCCTGCTCTCCACACGATTCCCTACTTTGGCAGAAAGCCGGCTCCTCACAATTGGTTCGGGTTTGGGGTTTAGGGTTAAGGGGTTTAGGGTTTAGGGGTTAGGGTTTTAGGGATTTAGGGTTTTAGGGATTTAGGGTTTAGGGTTTTAGGGGTTTAGGGTTTAGGGTTTTGCTACTTGGAGCCCCCTTGGGTAATCACACCAGAGATGCACTATCTGTGCTTTTTGGGGGCCGAAGTAGCGTCCTCTTAAGCCCCCGCAGGGGTTTTATAGGGGTAATATACGGGCTTTGTAGGGGTAAGAAGGGGGTCTGCCGCTTAAAGTGAGAGGACTCACTTTTCGGCATTGCGAGAGTCGTGCTCACGATAGCTAGCTGATAGAGACCGGAAACATAACCATGCATTTGTAGAAAGAGGATGAACAGATTTCTACTTACCAATAGCCGGAAAGACTCCTACGTCAAGGAATAGGGTAGTTGCAGGGCCCCGGTGCTTCTCAAACATCACAAATGTAAGGACAGGAGCCACAGCTGCAGTAATTAGCAAGAAGGGACTGGCAGGATGGTTTGTCTCAGCGCGCGCTTGTTTCAAGATTTATGGGTGGCGGGTGCCCCGAATCAGGTTGGAGCTTCAGGTACCTTCTTGGGTGACTTTTACAATCTCCTCTAAGAAACTTGCAGCATGGTGCTTTCCCCAAACCTGGGTACTCCGCAGTTGCAGGGATGTATCATGACTTAACGGAGTTGCCTCCTGCGCACCTGCTGATGACTGAATTGGTGAATTTTGGGAACGCTGACTTGGCGACAGCACTTCGAGTGTTTGCATGGTTTGAGACCACAACTTTTCTGTCGAAGACATGCGCGCCTGGCCTGCTCAAGACTGCAGCATAGCTGCTCTCCAGGGGCTTTAGGGTTTGGGGTTTGGGGAAACCTAAGGGTTCAGGTTAAGATGTACGCGCTAGTTCTCGTTAACACATGCTCAAATTGTAGCCAGGTTGGTTCCGATTCACTATAAGGTTGCGCAATGGCTCCCCTCAACCCCATACCGTCTCGACAAAATCTTGACAACCATGAAACGTGTGCTTCCCTGTACTTCCGTATCACTGGGGTGATCTAGGGAATAATGGAAAATGGGACCGACCCTGGGGATCCAAGTCTACAATGAGTAACTACATTGGATTCAAAAGTTTACAAGCAGCATCTATAGTATATTGGGATTATATTGAGATCATGGAAAAGGAAACAGAAATTACTATTTAGGAATTAATTTGGGTTATCTGGATCCCTAGGGCTACTATAAGTTAGGTGGACCTCCCTCCCTGTAATAGTGACTATGATCTATATTAAGGATTATATTAGGGTCCTCTTGTATTCCTATTATACCACTAGTACAGGGTGGGGGGTCCTCCTAAACTATAAGATCCGGCCCGCGAGACTTCAAGTGCTGTGCGAGCCTTGGATTTGGGGTCCGGGCCATGCCTGTGCCGGGCTCATCCCGGTTGGACCCTGTCCCGGCTGCACGGCTAAGCCCTACTCCGGAGGTGCCTGCTTATGTGTACGATAGTCTAAACTCCTTAAAGGGGGTTATATAGGGGATTCTATAGGGAACTACTACAGGGGTTACTAAGGGGGATACTAGGAGTTTAGACAGTAGCTTATGTGACCTGGCTGGGGGTTGAGGGGAATAAGGGAATAAGGGAATATGTTCTATAGGGGTTATAATCTAACCCCTATAGAATATATTCTCTTATTACCTGTACTACAGGGATTAATTTGGGATTCTATAGGGACTATATGTGGATTATATTCTTTTCTTACCCTACTAACCACCAGGAAGTGATGTGGCTGGTGGGGTTGAGGGGAATAAGGGAATATGTTGAGCTGTTGTCTAAAGTTTGTAAAGGGAGTCATCTAGGAGATTGTGTAGGGGAGTATTGTAGGATTCCAAAGGGGATACTAGGAGGTTAGACCATGGCTCATATAGGGATTATAATACAGGGATCATATTCCCTTTTTTCTAGTAACTACCAGGAATTTATGTGGCTGGTTGTTGGGTTGAGGGGTTCTAGAGCTGCGGCATTCTTTGTTAATCTGGCTGGGGAACGTGAAGCTTTTGCCGTTAGGTTGGGGTTGATTGGGGAACTACTTTCAGGCTCATAGGCTCACAGGTAGTTATAGCTAGAGTACGGACATTGGTGATCTCAACTATCCTAGTCATGTCCCTGTAACTCCATACCCATACTTACCCCATAAACCTCTACGTCGGGGGATCATTGAGGTTTGAAAGGATGGATGGGTGAATGCGCCTACAGCAGGATGTTAGGGAATCCTGCAGGGATTTGGTATTTGGGTTTATGGTCCAAGAGTTTGGGAGATTCACATGACTTCTTATAGGCCGGAAAGCTTAATTACAGTAAGACATAGCTGCCCGGCAGCATAGTGCTGGCTTCCACACCACCTGATGTTATCTAGGTTCTAATGCGAGCCTCTTAGAGGCCTTCCGCAAAGTTCGCAGGCCTGGCCTTTCTGTTGCGAAGTTGGATGAAGAGTACTAGTCCCTCCCTCCCTGCCTTGCGCCGTATTTGGTCAAACTCAGCGGATGTAGGGACTAAGTTCCGGGCTTCCCCCTTTGAAGGATGTTCCACTTTACATGGCCGTCCTTGCTACGGGCTACATGTTTGCGTGGTGGTTTAGGAACAAGTTGCAAACAGTTGCACAGGTATCCACAACAATTCTGTAGATACAAATTCCAGTGTCTCCTCAACGTGGCCGCCTGGACCATCGGAGGCAGATGAGAAAAATGAGGAGGCCTTCACGAGCTTTGGCCTTACCGGTGAATCGACGGTTGCCGCAGAGGAGGTGCAACTTATTCAGAGGCCTGGTGGATCGTGAGAGGGAGTTGGAGGGCAGGACTATTTCAGCTTATATGGGGGTTTCCCAAAATTAGGGCTACCCTTTTGGGGGGTCCCCATAATAAGGATTACAATATATTGGGGTCTATATTGGGTATTTTGGGAAACTACCATATCGAGGTTCTTTAGTGGCGACATTTATTCAACAAGGAGTATTCAGAGGTTGCATAGGGATAGTATTCAGAGGTTGCATAGGGATAGAGTCATGACATTTTGCATGGTTGTCAATAGTGTCCGGGTAGCCTCTGACTGGCGCTGTCATGCTCGGTGATCCTCGGGATGGGGTTCAGGTCGCTAGGGTGGGGAGTGCCAGATGTGCCAGACCCCCTGATACCCAACGGTTCAGGTCGGTACCCCTAGTGTTGGGAGACCTATGGACTCATGAGTCTTGTGGCGCCCTATGGTCACTACGGGTACCTTTGTTGCGAAACCCCTGTACTTGATAGGCCCCATTGTGCTGTCCTTCCGCGTGGCAGTTACACACCATTAGTGGCCCTAGTGTTCAGTTGTGATTTGGGATTTGGGGCGTAGGGTTACAAAGGGTTTAGGGAATGTTAGGGTCAGTTTGGGATGAGGGAAGCATGTGTATATATGCTCAGATATGGCGTGCCAGTGGCCAAGCGTTCGCGGTTTTTAAGGCACATCAATGAACTTTGGGTGGTCTGGAAGTAGTCAACGCTCGGGCCAAAGCGGATACTAAAGTTAGACCTAGTGTATGTCTCGATTTCCGGTAGAAATCTAGAATTATTCAGGAAATCCCGATGTTTTCAGGTGTATATATATGTATATACTATGGAGTTAGGCCTCGAAGGGGTTCGCACACATTATCTGTGGGGCACAAGAAAAGACTATACAGCTACATGTACCCTGTGGGCATATAAACAATGATTGCAAATTTCGTGATGCCCGAAAGGCTCATCCCACAATCCGAGCTCCTGGCAGGTTCGAGGAAATGCTTGCGAAGCGTGATGTGGAGTTGTTCAAACGGCTTGATAGAGCCCTTTACGGCTTCGCCGCTCCCTCAGACAATTTCGCTCGGAACCATAAAGGCCTCGCTACTCATTATATAATCATGCAGAAAAGGCGCAGAAGACCGTGTAGTGCAGGACAGGTGGCTTGAGAGTGCAGTTTGACTTGTTTCATGCTCTCAACTGCCAGCATTCTTGTGGCTGCAGAGATTCAGCTAGGAAAAGATACCCAGCCAGCATCAGTTGCAGTTTTTACATTGGACTAGCGTCCTTGGCCCCAGCACGCCGCAGCCATGGAACTTCTTGCGCCCATCATTGAAAAGTGCACCAATATCGCAGTCTCTGGCACACTGGAGCAGCGCGTAAGTGTGGGGGTAGCAGTGCTGACCCTGGCGTCCGGCTTGGCGCACTTTCTCCAGGGGATCATAGCCCCCAAGTCTTGCGCCCAGATGTGCCTAGAGCCCTGGTTCATGACAGCTGCGGGGCTTTGGATGACGGGCTCCGGCCTCGTTTTCCTGCATGATGAGCAGCTGGGCTTCCCCTTCATGGCTTCGGCCATGGGTGGTGCGGCTGCCACCGCGCTTCTCAGCCCCATGAAGCCAGGAGTAGTCTTTTCCTTAGGCAGCCTGGCGGCACAGGCCTACACCACCAAGCTGCCCCAGGACTCCTCATACTTCGGGCTGACCGTGGGCATGTTCACTTTTGGGATCTTGGGCAGGGTGCTACTGAACCATAGTGGCAGTTCGGCGGCCAAGGAGGACTGAGCTCACAAGGCTGAAGAAGCACCTCCGATAGAATGATGCTGTAGTGTAGTGTTCAACATCCACGGAGACTAGTATAGAATTGCAGCAGCACTCAAGCCAACAAGAGCACGGCTGCCCGGTGCGGACCGTGAAGATCTACCACCCGATATGCTGAACAGGCCTGGGCAGCACAGAGTGATATATTTACACTATTGTATGAGGACGGAAGACTGATTGCTGGCTTGGCGAGAATAAAGAGATTTGAGCAGCTGTCCCGTTGAGGAGTCGCCTCAATCACGTCTTTCAGGCACCAGGGTTTAGTTTAATTCAGAACAACCATGTGAACTGTAGTCTAAACTCCCTAA